CTCTGTTGTCCAGATAGAGTATGCTAACTACTAGACTGTCTAGTTAGCTTTGCATTAGAGCTTAATAGGTCTGTCACCATCTTTTCCTGTTTATTCTAGTTACAAAAACACTAGCTAAAATTTCATTAGCTTTTGTGGCAGGCCTGTCACTTGCTAACTAAAACTATAAATGCCATCAATTAATACACTCTACATATTCAACCTTCCCAAATTTACATACAAGTTCTTTCAATTTCTCATGCTTCAGATTATTAAATTTATAAATGCTATCATCCAGTAATAGCTATGACTTCCTGCGTTAATGTCATCTGGACATTTTATAAGCATGTCCATAGGTTTTCATCGAAATCTGAGATCCAGTACTAAAAGGTGACAGGTTATTTAAATTTTGTCCTCTAATTTTTAGTGTCTTTGATTACCCTCTATTAGATATCCTTAACTGGAATAGGTAAAAATGTAATCGGATAATAAATTATTTAAGTACTAGATACAAATTATAAGGGAATATATTTGGGGTGGTTATAAAACAGCTCAGATTCACTTACTCAAGGGAAAGGAAAGAGAATCTCTAAATACAGCTGAAGCAGATTTGTGAAAAGCTTCTCAACTTGGTAATTCTAATTTAAATAGAGAAGAAAACAGAGGTGCTACAAGAGAACTAATATAACCACTAGGAGAGGACATTAAACCATTAACAATCTCAAACAAGTGATCCACTATTGGTGATTCTTTAAAAGTATGTAGCTCAGACCTACAATTATGCTGAATCATATGGATGAAACATAATACTGGATTCAAAGGGCACAAACAAAATATATAGTGAATTATTCCATTTATTAGAAGTTAGTTTGAAGTGGGAAGTGATAGGAAGGGGTCATTAAGAAGCTTATACTATTTTGTATCTTGAGCTGGGTGCTGGTTGCACAGGTGTGTTCAGTTTGAACTGTACATTTATGAATGGTGTACTTTTCTGATACAAATTATATTTCCATAAAATGATTTTTACAAAGACATATCACTGAGCATTCAAAATATAGATTAGATTAGCCGAGACCGGTTTGACTCAGTGGATGGAGCGTCGGCCTGCGGACTGGAGGGTCCCGGGTTCGGTTCCGGTCAAGAGCATGTGCCTGGGTTGTGGGCACATCCCCAGTGGGGGATGTGCGGGAGGCAGCTGATCGATGTTTCTCTCTCATCGATGTTTCTGGCTCTGTCTCTCTCCCTTCCTCTCTGTAAAAAAATCAATAAAGTATATTTTTAAAAAAATATAGATTAGATTAGCCAAGTTCTGAAACCTGAGTTTTACCATTTGGGTTAACAAGTACTGGTGGGTTTTAATAATGAATCAAAGCTTCTTGGAGGATGAGTAAAACAACACAAATAGTCTCATACAAGCAGCTTAGTTTTGATTTACTCCTAATTTCAAAAATAAAATCTCATACAGAAAAGTGATAGGAAATACTGGAAGCCTTTTCTACCAAAAAATACTTTTAAGTTTTTCCTAATCTAATAATTTTAAAAAACTAGCTAAAAATAATTACTGTATAAAATTTAAGCAAAATCATCAAGTATCTAGTAAAAGACATACCAGACATTAACTTTAAGTTAATAACCCATGTGTACTACTCTCTTTATTTCTCTTAAAATATTGGTGCTATCATAAGAAGGACAAGCTGATTCAAGGGGACGGTGCAACTAGCAACTGTAACTCTCATCTGTTAACCACATTTATGCCTTTTCTTCATTAAGGCAGAAATATTGCAAGTCGTTTATCAATTATGTTAAATCCTTACAAGTTACCTGATTTCCTGTTTAATCTACCTGAGCTAAAGTTTCTTCCTTCTAGTACTCTCTACCTTACTAACCTGATATTTACAAAAGAATAAAATTGTTTATTGTAAATTCTTACTCTGAGCCTTTGCATTCAAAAGACTCACAATTAGCGCTTGCTCCCTAGTGATCAAGTTTCAAAAACAATTCTATTGATTTAACAAAGCAATGCCAATATTTAAATTTGGAAAGCAGTTCTTTGAAGCAGGAAAATAGGAAGTCAAAATTTAAAGCTACTATAATGAAATGCTAATAGGCTATGCTATCTCTAAAAATGAAACTTCTTCATGGTAAAATAATCCCCACAAAGCTAACTATGGAAGCTACATTATTCATTTTAATAAATAGTCCACACAAACATTTGGGCTTCCTAAGAAAGGCCTGTATTATTTTTGACATATCAGTATCTACTGTCCTTATACACATTTAGTGATGGTTTCAGCTGAATGATTATCTGAGGACTCTGCAAATGACAAATGGGGAGCCAGAAAACAATGATGGCACCTACTGTAAAAGGGAAAGGAAAGAGAATATCTAAATACAGACAGAAGCAGACTGGTGAAAAGCTTCTCAACTTGCTAATTCTAATTAAAATAGAGAAGAAAACAGAGGGGCTATGAGAGAACTCTAAGTCAATGTGAGAAAGGTATATTAGTTACTTATATTTTGATTAAAAGATACTCTATGAAAAGAATACTAGAAAAAGATTCCAGTCTTTCAAGTAGGCAAAATTAGGGTTCTTCAGATTTCTAGGGCAGGCTTAATGAAAACTGGCACAGGACTTAAAAGCTTCCCCTACCAAAAATGATTTCCAAGACTTTATAAATAGGAGACTTACATAGGCAAATTTATACCTCAAAGCAAGTAGAAGATAAATACTGAATGATTCTATTAAATACTTACTTGCCAAATTAGTTGTAAAATTTTTTAAAATTCAAAATTTATAATACTAAAAAATGAACAAGACACTTTGGTGAGATCTAATATAAACAAGGTTAGGAAAGTTATATATAATATTTTTTAAAGCTTAACACATACAAATCTTCAACCCCTGTCTGCAATGAAAAAGAATAAATAGTCCCACAATACTTTTTTAGCTAATTCAAAAGTGTAAGTATCTGCCAAGTGAAGTGGTAGATGTTTTGGAACTAATAAAGCTAGCTGCTACTATTCTTCTCAATTGAAAATTTAATATGCTGGATAAAAAGTTAAAAGGAAACCACTGGTCAGTTTCTACCAGGTCGGGCTTGTAGCCTCAGTACCAACAGGCCAATTTACATTGAATATAGCTGATCTAGAATATGAATTCTGATTATATTTTGGCTTTAACATACTACAGACAAGTATCCGTTAACTTTGTTGGCTCTGGACAACAGGCTCCAAGGAGAAGAGAATATATTTTAACCCATGAGAAACTATAGATATAGTAACTTGCCTCATTTCTGATACCTTAAATGTTTCTGGTATCTAAAATCAAAACTAGATAAGGAGCATTTAGCCGTAAAAACAAATGAAAAGCAGGCAATTTCTATGGTTGTTTTATAATGAAACAAAAGAAATCTTTTAGTATTACATACAAATTATATTTTAAAAAAGCTCAAACCTTTCTACATTGATTTGATGAAAATAGTTATCTTTCATATTGATGTCATGGCAGCTCACAAAAGTCAGTTATTTGAAATAAATTATCATACATGTGAAAACCATTCTTACATTCCTACATAGAGTGCTATTCTTCCTTTTTCTAAGAGAAAAGTATAAAATATACACCAAAGTACTCACCCTGGCTGGCTACATCTGGCAAGCCATTCGAATGATTAAACCTTCATGCTGTTTCATGCCACAATTTACATTTATGCCTTAACTTATTGCTAGAGTGGAACAATTTTACTTATTTATTTTAGCTGAACAATTTAAAAATGAAATTTATAAACATGGTACTATAAATTTTAAAATGTCTTGTTCTACAAGTAACTATTTTAAAAACATTTTTAGTAAAGTAAGGAACACATCACAAAAAAGACAGTTTGTTAGAAAATTTCTTTCAAGTGACACACAAAGCAAATCAAGCCAAATAATTAGAAGACTGTTACCATTTCTAGGCAATGTAGACCATGTCTTAACATGACATGTTAAGCATGACATGCACTTAGCAATACTCTTTTCAAATGAAAGAGATGGAGTTAAGTCCATGAGTGTTATCCAAACTATGCCAGAGGACACAAATGCGTTGCCAGGCAGAATTGAAAGAACTTTACAAAGCTTTGTGAGAATTTTAAAAACATTTGCGCTCAACTTCTATTAATTAGACACAAAATGATGGAGTGCTAATAAACATTTAGCAAAATAACTCAAGAGCATATACTGCTTAAAATGTGTATTACGCAGAAAGATAAACCAAAGTAACTTTTACCATAAATGAACTTTACTTGATTCAATATTTTTAAAAGTTAAAAGTAAAATGTACACATTTCTGTGAGAAAACCGTTTTAGGGATTTACAAAACAGTAATGCAGATCTAATGAATTCTAGCCAACAAGCTTGATGGTAAAGTTTCTAGCCAAGAGTTAAACAATGACTACTATTTTGATTCCTTGGTTTTGTCCCTCCTCCAATTTCTTAATATAAGATAACATTTTGCTTTGAGTCACTAAGGCTTTTACAGAGAAATAAAAGTAGCACAAAATTAAAATAACTGTAGGCACTTTATTTTATAGAATATATTTTAACATTAAAATACACAAGGGTAAGTAAATATTTCATATAATAAAATTCAATAGAAAATGTATATCCTTCCAAAAATAAATATAATTAAAAGTTCAGGAAGAAGAAATGTTTATATCCTATATAAAATATAGACTGTCCTTTTGGTTTATTTTGCTGCTTTGTCCCATGCTAAATACATGAGTCCCCCTCTAAAATAACAAAGGTCAGTTTTAGTGATGAGAAACCAGTTCAGTGCAAAGCAATTCATGCATACACCTTTGCATGTACACATTCCGTATGTGAGTATTCATACCTATCCCAGAGGTTCTTTGATTCCTGAAACGTGTTCAAATGGAACGCTTGGTAGAAAGCAGTTGAAGGATTCCTGTGAGATCCAAGAATTGGAGATGAGGTTGAGAAAATATAGTAAATTCACTACTTTAAAAAAAAAGATGGAAGATTTTAGATTTTTAATACAGTGCAACAGCTTCAAGAGAGAAAGGGAGGGAGAGTGAGAGCCACAATAAGGTCGCTTAAAAGCATTTTGAGCCCTAGCTGGTTCAGCCTGTGGACTGAAGGGTCCTGTGTTCCATTCCAATCAAGGTCACATCCCGGGTTGCAGGATCGATACCCAGTAGGGGCGTGCAGGAGGCAGCTGATCAATGATTCTCATCATTGATGTTTCTATCTCTCCCTTCCTCTCAAATCAATAAATTTTTTTTTTAAAAAAGCATTCCGAAAGAAATTAAAACTGCACAAAAATCCAGCAGACCCTGACAATTCAGGATCACAGTTCTAAAAGAAAAGGATAATAAAAAGTCAAATCAAATATTAGCTAGTGTAACCAGCTGGATCCCACCTGTGCACGAATTTGTACAGCAGGCCTCTACTGTGTATATATATATATATATATATATATAACCAATTCACTGCCTAATCAACACTACCCTTTATCAGATACCTTCATAAATCTCTATATGTTTAGCAGTTTAATAAAGCTGTTGTGAGGTACATGTAAAATAAGTTGTACCTTCATAATACAAAATTCTTCATAGGATCTATTTGATAGGGTTTGATGATGAATGAGTCCTTTTCTAGGTTGGACTTAACAAAATTTTCACCTTCACAGTCTATTTATTTATGTGTGGTTTCTCTCAGGTAGGGCAAAAAATGGTGCTGAATTGTATGATAGCTTTCTAACTTCTAGCATTTAAGGGGTAATAGTTTGTGCATCTTAATTACCTTCCATCTTTACTATTCCCTAGGGACACTTTCCCTAGCAGTGGTCAGCAAACTCATTAGTCAACAGAGCCAAATATCAACAGTACAATTGAAATTTCTTTTAAGAGCCACATTTTTTAAACTTAAACTATATAGGTAGGTACATTGTTATTAACTTAATTAGGGTACTCCTAAGGCTTAGGAAGAGCCACACTCAAGGGGCCAAAAGAGCTGCATGTGGCTCTCAAGCCGCAGTTTGCCGACCACGGCTAGGGCTATTAACTACAGAGTCTTAACTGATAGGCTCATCTGGGCAAGCTCCCAGCAAGCATGATCCACCTCACATCTCAGGAACGGCTTTTCCAGAGACTAAACTTTAATTTTTATTGATTTCAGAGAAGAAGGGAGAAGGAGAGAAAGATATCGAAATATCAATGAGGAGAATCATTGATCAGCTGCCTCCTGCATGCCCCACACTGGGGATCAAGCCCACAACCCGGGCATGTACACTGACCAGAAATCAACCCGTGACTTCCTGGTTCATAGGTAGGTACTCAACCACTGAGCCACCGTGGCCTGGCAGGAGACTAAACTTTTGACAAACCTGCTCTTACAGTCCCCCCCCAGCTCAGCATATTTCTAAAGTCTCTCCCATCCCCAACCTGTATTTTAGGGAACTAACAAAAACTTGAGACATCACTTCTAAAATTCTTGATCCATGCTGTAGCAGAATAACAGCAGCATGCTAAGAATATGAGTGATTATATACTTGACACTAACTGTTCTACATTTATTAACTCAATTCTACAATAGCCCTAAGAGTAGGTGCTATTACTATTCCCATCTCACAGATAAGAAAACTGGGTCAGATAGAAGTAACTTGTCTTATGTCCCAGAGTTAGGTGGCAATCTGGTCCCAGAGTTCATACTCTTAAATCACTATGCTAAATATATAGCAGAGTTAAATTTTAACCTCTCTAGGTCTGTCGCTTTATCAGTTAAATAATGCAGTGATTCATATGTAAAGACTATATAGAAAGCTCCTGGTAGACAGTCAATGCTTAATAAATGACAGCTATTATTTCGTCATAAAAATGAGGTTCAGATACAATATGACATTTCTGAGACCTTAACAATTACCTTAAGAGAGTCTCTGCAGTAGTAGTACAATAAGAAAACTATTTCCAAGTTCTACTAGAATAGCAATCAAATATCAATGATCATCAAACAAAATAATAGAATTCCATGACTTCAAAAATCAGATTAAGACCCACTGTGTTATCTACTGAATTAAAAAAAACACACCACACAACCATTTTTAAAAGGCATTTAAAAAAAATTTAAACGGTAGAGTACCTCTTAAGATGATCTAAAACTAGGAAAGGTAGACACACACCAGTTGCCAGAGTGTCACCAAAGCAACTATTTGATTAATTAGGAGTCTTCAGTATGTGCACTTCTTTTTGCTTGTCCTACTTCAACTCCTTTCTATCCTTTTAACCTTTTATTTTTCTCTTGACTAGGTCTAAGGCAATCAAAGGCACTGATTAGATATCAAGAAAGGATTAAGAGGCTGCTAACTACTGTTTATTTAATAGCTTGTATCCTCTCAAGATATATTTGCCAGACCTCTTTTTTCCACTGTACTTAGAATTGGTCTGCCAAATTAAATGAAAGCCAACTGAACCAATTGAAAACTCAATTTGGCTTTTTTACAAGGCTTACCCAGGACCACATGGGAGCAAGTATGCTATTCATACAGGTTTGTTTGGGAGACCTTGGGTTTAAAATAAACAGATTGACTTAAAAAGGGAAAGTAGTAAATACAAGAGAGTAACAAAGAGTAAACTTGGAAGTTTATTCTGCAAGTCTGAAATTTAAAATTCATTAAAGAGTATTTACAATATATTTATAAGGATAGCATTCTTTAAAAGAAATTCAGATACTGACTTTGGAAAAACATACATGTATTTAATTTGAATAAAATTCACATGCCAAATAAATTGGTTTTAAATAGTCATATGATTTAAGTTATGAAATTCCAGTATTTTTACAACATAAACTAATAATGAAATGTTCTCATAAGTCAAATGTAGAAGTGAAAGAAGATCTTATCTGTCATTAGTCTTGGGGTGAGAAAAGAACCTGTGAAATAAAATACTATAAATCAGGGGTGGGGAATGTCTGGATTGCGGGCTGTATAAAGCCCGAGAAATTACTTGGTCTGGCCCTGCCAAGGCATTAGGGGTGAATTAATTAAACGTTTGGCCAAATATAACAGGCTAATTTTTTAAAAAATAATTCTTTATTGTTGAAAGTATTACACCTGACCCCCTTCCCCCCGATTAACCCCCTCCAGTCTGCTAGCAAGCTAATTTTTCAGGTGATAATTTTTGTATGGCCTGTGAATAATGTTATAAATATCCAAATGGCCATTGGCAAAAAAAAAAAAAAAAAGTTCCCCACCCCTACTATAAATGAACCTAAATGTCAGAACGAATACAGTGAGGTTGCTGAAGTGTGCAGTTAACAATCACCTTCTACATATATTCAAAATGAAAAAACTATATGAAGTCATACAGTCTATGTACTACAGAAAAACTTAGTATATTCCAAGGATAAAGACAGTAGTATAACATGAAATTTTGGGGTTGTGGAATATTTTAGCTGGAGTGTTACCCATTATCTGAGGGATTTTTAGCAAATTTAACAAGAATTAGTCTCAAAACATTGATTAACAGGCACAGATTAAAGGAGTCAAGTCTATGAAACCTTAGTTGACCAAGAATTTCAAAAGAGCCATTTGTAAATACAGACAGGCCTGATCATTTTTCAAAACCAACGAACAAAGTATGTTCTTTTCTCTCTTACTTTATATACTAAATAGTCTGTTATGTTAATTTCCAAGTACACAAAAAGTAATACATCAGAAAGCTGACTCAAATGTGACATTTGTCTACTTGCTTTACTAAGGTACTACCTTTGTAGGGTAATTAATTATAACACAGAGAAAAAAAGATACATATATACTATACCTCAAAACTAAGCTACAAAAATTGTAGAAGTTTAAAGGATGAAGTACATACATGAGCCCAGAACTCAGCAAATTTCTTCTTCTCTTATGTCAAAACTCAACTTTACAGATCTCTAAATAGAAACCAGGGAAATAAAATAAGCAGAGGACCACCTCCAACATTATCATCTAGGGATTTTAAATGATTAAATACATCCTTCAGGTGAAGGGTTACAATACAACAGATCAGTGGCTACAGTAGGTTTTTCCTTCCTCCTTACAGTCAGCAAAGCAACAACAACAACAACAACAATAATAATAATAATAATAAACTAACTCTGGGAATATCCAAGAGCACTGGCTTTGGAGTCAGAGGCCCGAGTCTGCATCTATGCTTTGTCACTTATTATCTCTGAGACTCAAATCCTCAGAGCCTCACTTTTTTTAATTCATAAAAAAGGGGTAGCAACACTTCCTTAGAGTTGCTTAACAGATCAAATCACATAGGGCCTAAAACAAGCTTGGTTTGTGTTTTAATATAGAGTTAGTTTCCTAGGCATGCTGTAATAAAAATACTTTTTTGGTAGACTATCTTAACATATACCAAAATATTTCATCATTAAGGTAATATTGAGGCAAACAAACTACTTAAGGTAAATAGAATACTTAAGCTAGAGCTAGGTATACCAAACTATTTAGTATTTTCTAATGAATGAGAATCTTGACTTCTGGGACTCAGAGCTCCCCTAGGATTTCCTTATATACAATTTTATTACAAGATTTTAATTAAAAATAGAATACTCACTGAAAAGTGTACTGCAATGGGTTCAAGATACATACTACTTTAATAATAAAAGCTTTAAGAAACATCTTCAACAGCAACCATACACTTATGATAAAAATCTCAATTTCTTACCATGACATTTTAGCCCATCACTCTGGTTCCTGTCAAATTAATCACATCATTTCCCAAATCTGACATAGTCTCACTTGTCCACACTATTATACAAACTGCTTTTTCCCTCTACTTGGAAAATCATCCCCTTCTTTTATCAGTGGCCTAATATAAATGACCCTTTTAAGATTTAGTTCAAGAGTTAGCTTCAGAAGAATGCACAGGTAATAGGTTGCTCCTGAGGGCAGAAACTGGG